CGGTGGCCTCGGGAGGGTCGGCGGCCGGGCCGGGCTGTCGGGCAGGGAGGCCTGAAGGCCCCGTCGGTTGCTGTTGTCCTTCCCGTTGAGCTTTGCAGGCGTGTTTGCGGAGCGACGGTCCCCGCCGTCTTCGCAGGGGTGGATGTCTCACCCGGTGCTGGAGCCGGAGGGGAGAGGGTGGCTGCCTGGACCTGCCTTGTAGCAGCAGCCTGTGGGGCAAGACCCAGGAAGGTGGGGGACCCCGAGACCAGGAGGCCACACAGTAAAGCTCCAGCTTGCTGCTGCTGCCTAGTATGCTCCTTGCTGTTCCTCAGAGGAGCAGGGGCAAGGTGGGAGAGGTGTCCTGGCAGATTGATGGGGGAGTGGATGGCAAGGATCGCCCTTAACAAGAGGACAAGGAGCCCCAAAGGGCAGGCAGGGCCTGTGAGGCCTTCGCGGGAGGAGCTGGGGCCTGATGCCCTCTCGGAGCTCAGGCAGTGTCGAGGGCAACAGGCGAAGAAGGCAACTGCCAGCAGCACTTTGGGCAAGTGGGGTTCGCTTTAGGGCTCGCCAGATGCTGCTGACCCAAACTGCGGGAGCTGGGGCTCCTGGGTAGCAGGAAAAAGCGAGAAGAGACTGTGGATGTCACGTGGAGGGCAGGGCCTTTTTGCGTTGCTGGTAGCAGTCAGAGAGACGGCAAATGCTCCAAACTCTTGTTTCCACAGCTGAGCTGGGCTGGGCTTGGTATTTTGAAAACTGAGCGCTAGAGGTCTCTGACTCAAGGCTGTCGCAGTCTGTTATTAATCTTTATTAGGAAGGAGGAAAAGGGCTGAGAGAGATGGGGGCCTGGCTTGGTGGAGGTGTTCATCTGCTCAGACTAGGGCTTCTTCCCAGCTCTGGCAGCCCGTGGACACGAAGCGGTGGCAGACAGGCCGATGCGAGACCCCGTTCCCTCTCCCTGCGCCCACCCTGGGGTGGCCCCCGGGGGGAGGGAGCCTGTGTCGCCGACCCCCCGGCTGGCGTGTCCCCGTCGCCCAGGGGTGCCCCCTGCCGCCGCGGGCCTTTGCCGCTTAGCTGTTGTGGTGGCTCTCACGTTTTCCCCAGGGACTGTTTTGGGCTTGTGTGCAAGGAGGGAGACCACAACGCTGTAACCTAAGTATTTCTCTCCCGAGAGAGATGTTATTTGAGGCTGCCGTTTGCTTGCTCCCTGGCCCTAGCCATGAGGGTCTGGAGTGAAGAGACTGCTCGAGGCATAGGGTGGTGTGGGGTGCTTCAGAGGGACTTTTTGTCCCCTCTCCTGGCTCGGGGCTTTGGCTGTAGCCCGAGGGGAAGGAGATGGGTTTGAGGTGTCACCCTGGGTGATCTGCCTCAGGCTGCTTTGAGCTTCGTTTTTGGTGGCGGGTCAGGGGAAACGGTCTATGAATAGCACGTTTGAGTCATGGCCTGGGATTCCTGTGGAGATGTAAGGTAATGCCGTGCCTTGACCTCTCTCGGGGAGGGCGATATCTCTCCGTTTGGGATATTTGCCCTTTAGACTGATCTTGGCTTCACCCGCTCCTGCCCGGGGTCTGGTCGCAGAGCAGCTGCCGCCCTCGGAGCAGCCGCGGGGCTATTTTCATCAGCTCGCTGCCAGGCTGAGCGGGCGCTGCCGGCGGGGTGGGCGCAGGAAAAAAAGGCTGTGAGCTCGAGAGAAGGAGCTGGGGGGGGGCACCGAGGAAAGCCGGGACACGGAGGAGTGGGGAAAAAGAAAGGGATCTCAAAGGGAGAGGAGTGGGACAAATGTCCATCTCCCTCCTCTCCCTTCTCTCGGGCTGCTTTGTCCCGCAGGCCTCTTCCCTGAGCAGGGAACAAGCTCTGGTTAAGGGGAATAAGGCAGACCCAATGTGACGCTGCGCGTGTCCTGCTGTAACAGCACTCGTGTGAGGCCTCCCCGCACTGCCCCCCCTTGCCTTACAAGTACCGAACACAGAGGAAGAAATCAGATCTGCCGGTGCTGCTGCACGCCCTGGCTGGCCTGGGGCTGCCTGGTCCCCGGCCTAGGATCGGTCTCCTGCGGGAAGCGGAAAGCGCTGAAGTCGGCTCGGAAGTGTTCCCCGGCAGTGTAGGGCAGGGAGCGAGGACTGTATTTGACTCTCGCTTGCTTTCTAGCCCAGGGCGGGTGTTTACCCTGACGAGTTGCACGGTTCTCTGTTGACTGGAAGGAGTTTTAGCTCTGAGGAGGAGGTGGGGGCACAGATCCATAGTCGTCGTACCTCCGTCGGCTTCGGCGCTGCTAGGCTGCTCTGTCCATGTGGCAGATTTGCCTTTTAACCTCCAGCCTGCCCTAGATGGTCACAGCGTCTGCTCTGAACGGCTAGAAGCAAACTTGAGGGTGGAATTATATCTTGTCATACCGTTGCTTCACCTCCCTAAGAAAGAGTGAAGTGTTGGAGTCTGGTACTGTTGCAGGGAGCAGGTGGGCTCAGTTCCCTCTGTGGACCAAACTGAGTTGGCTTATTCGGTTTTGAGGTGTGCTGTGCAAATGCCTGAAATCTGGGGTGAAGCAACAGGGCTCTGCTTTGATGTCCTTTCCCTTGACTCGTTCGGGAGAAAATGCTATCTCCTCGCTGGGGTCAGCTGGCTGGGCCTGGCTTGGGGAGCGACCTTCTTACCCGCCACACCGCTGAGTGGTGCGGAGGGATAGTTTTTCTCTGACAGAGTCCCTTTTTTTCTGCCTGAAAACCAGTCAGTCCTGGCTCAAAACCATGCACAAGGTCACTGTTCGTCTCACTCGTGCTGGCTAAACAAGAGCTCAGAGTCCGTTTGCTCTCAGCCAGCACCCTGCCCGCCCCAGGCTGGACCCTACCCTACCGGCTGTCATGTAGTTTATCCTGGGGGACCTCGTCCTGTTTATGCCTTGGATGTTGGGTTTGAGCTTTGGGCTTCCAAACAGCTCCTTAGTCAGTGCTGGAAGGCAAGATGAGGTGAGGGAAGGTGGGGAACTAGCCGGGAGTTCAGCCAGTATTGATGAGGGTGTGCAGAGCAGGCTGGGGAGGCGAGGGAAAGCTAGTTGCTTTTTGCTGGAATAACCAGCCCCCTTTCCTGTAGCAGAGGCTGATGTGAGTTTGGCTGCTGGAACAGACCCCAAGAAACGGTTTCAAAGCAGCTCCTAGGAATTTGGGCTTTCTCCAAAGATGTCAGGGTGTTTAATGGGGATGTGCGACTTTCAGAACGATCGGTGGCTGGTTTTGTTGGTGATTTAAGCAACTCAGACTTGGCAGGGGTAGGGAGTGGGGGGCACATGGATCCTGGAGAGGGAGGGACAGTGATATGTGCCCCGAGTACATGGCGAGTCTCCTTTCCATCTTCCCCAGCCTCTTAGCCAGAGCTTGGTGGCTTGACGATCTGCTCGGTTCGCTCTCTTTCAGGCATTCAAAGTCTTTGAGCGGATGGCCCGGCAGGACGACGAGAAGAGACGCCGGGAGCTGGAAGCGAAGCTAAGGAAGAAGGAGGAGGAGGCGGCTGCCGCAGCACCGGCGAGGGGGA